AGAGGGCTTGTGAAATATAACAAAGTCTTTTATTGGTGAACAATCAACAGAAACTTCTTTTGTCTTCAAAAGGTTAAACAAATGCTTCCAGGCTTTTGTGCAACTGGTGGCTTCTAACTGTTACTTTTACTCTAAAGGAAAATCCCGTTCCAAACTACTCCCAGGCTCTCTGGATGTGGGTGAACTATAACTCCCAAACTCAAGGTCAATGTCCACCAAACCTTTCCAGTTTTTTCTGTTGGTCATGGGAGCCCTGTGTGCTAAGTTTGGCCCAATTCTCATCATTGGTGGAGTTCAGAATGCTCTTTGATTGTAGATAAACTATAAATCCCGCAACGACAATTCCCAATTTTTTTGAGTGGAGGACATAAATTGGACTGTTAGGTGTCTTGTGTCCAAATTTGGTGTCGATTCCCCCAGTGGTTTTTGAGTTCTGATGGTAGCACGAACTAACATTACATTTTACTTATATAGATTAAAATGAAATGGATGAGAAGAAAGTGAAATACTGCATGGTTAAATGGGCTCAAAATATTGATTATAACATTCAACTGGGACAATAAGAAAAAAGTGTGGGCCAAAGGGCTGAATTTTTTTTTTAACAAAATAATGGGCTGGTGGTATTTAGCACTGAGAAGCTGTCAAATACGTACAGAAAAAGGGACACCTGATGTTTGTTGGAAAGGTCAGGATAAAGAAAGTGGGCACCCTTCCCTACACAATCAGAGCACTCCTGACAGATGACTACCTCTGTTTCAAGTTCCAGAGAAGAAGATTCCACAACAGTCTGAGGCAGCATATTCCACGGTCTAACAGCTCTTGCTATCAGGCAGACTGCAATGTATCCTAGTTTCTAAGGCAGGGGTCCTCAAACTAAGGCCCGGGGGCCGGATACGGCCCTCCAAGGTCATTTATGCAGCCCTCGCTCAGGGTCAACCTAAGTCTGAAATGACTTGAAAGCACACAGCAAATTCTATCTCATCAGCCAAAAGCAAGCCCATACTTCCCATTGAAATACTAATAAGTTTATATTTGTTAAAATTGTTCTTCATTTTAATTATTGTATTGCTTTTAAAGTGTTGTTTTTTTGCACTACAAATAAGATATGTGCAGTGTGCATAGGAATTAATTCATGTTTTTTTCAAATTGTAATCCGACCCTCCAACTATTTGAGGGACTGTGACCTGGCCCTCTGTTTAAAAAGTTTGTGGACCCCTGCTCTAAGACAACAGATAATAGTTTGCCCCCTCCTCAATAAGACAGTCTTTCAAATATTTAAACACGATTATTTATTTGTTTGTTTATTTATTATTTACTATATCTATATACCGCTTTTCTCAGCCCTCGGGTGACTCAAAGCGGTTTACAGTAGCAAAATTCAATGCTCAAAACATCATAAAACAATTAAAACAGTTAAAACAATGGCATAAATATATAATCATTACAAAGTTAATAAAACATAACTCATTGGCGTCTCTTAGTTTTTCATGTCCCTCCTCAACCTTAAACTTGTTTTGTAGAATATTCCTTTTTTGCTAATATGCTAATGTATGCTGGAGATCCAGGAGGGATTATTGAATTCCCACCATGAAATAAAGAGGCCAGACATACAAACATGGACCTAAAGGGCAATTTCTTGTCCCATTTATTGGAACTTCTGAAAGAACTCATTTTGGGTTGTAAGCCACCTAGTAGGTAAAGTCCCTGGGCCAAGTGTCACTCCCTTTGACCACTTCCAAGGACTACCCTTGGGTGAGCACCATAAATCCCAAGAGCGACTCAAAATATTTGGCTGGAGTGAGAAAACCTTAATTCTATCACCAAAAGGACCTAAGCTTTACAGCCCCCGAGCCACAAAACCTACAGAGACTGTTATATCCACAAAGGAAGGGGGTGCACCCCAGTGCCTATCAGAACTAGTTAACCTTAAACATGCCATGACAATCTATTTTAAATGACACCACCCTCAGCCAATTACCACACCCCACTGCAACAGCATGGGGATAGGCAAAAACCCATCAAGAGCCACTTGCCGGGGGGGGGGGGGGGATTCCTACCCAGTCCTAATGTGACCATAGGGTGGGTCAGGCATCCAATGAAGGAAGGTGAGGAGGGCAGCTTGGCCTTAAATAGGCTGTTCTTCCATACCTTACTATGTGACGGTGCTGGTGAACCAGCTTGCCCCAACCAATACAGGTTTCCTTCCTGTGGGTCTTCAAATATTTTGCCTGATGGCTGTGTGTGGGGCAGCTGGATGCCCTTTCCAAGATAATGAGACCTATGCTCATGGAGTGGTTTTGATGTTGGGAAATTACATTTTTTGGTAGTGGTGATAAACTGTGTAAAGAATTGTTGAATATTCCTCCTGAAATATATATATATACTGGTGTAACATTAGCATGTTACCAAAATAATTGTGGCATTAGTGTGATCTTCCCGTATTACCCTCTAAAACCTCCCTGTTTAGACATACCCTACTTCTGTTCACGCCCAGTGTTTTAAAATTTTTAATCGACTACATCTGGCCCTGCGCACAGTGTTTTAAATTTCTTGTGTGTTATTGTTTATATGCTATTTATAATATTGTATTGTGTTGTAGTTGCTTATTTGTTTTGTTGTTTTATTGATGTATTTGTTGGGCTTGGCCTCATGTAAGCCGCCCCAAGTCCCCTTGGGGAGATGGTGGCGGGGTATAAATAAAGTATTATTATTATTATTATTATTATTATTATTATTATTATTATTATTTTTGCTGGTGCTTCCAGGAGCTCCAATTTTATTTGCTTTGAATTAAATGTTGGTTTGCAATCCCAGGCTTGGGATTTTGCAGCAGGGTGGCTTCCTGTTGTAGTTTGCAATCATAGGGCAAGCCACCTGTCAATTATAGTTAGGATGCCTGGTCCCGCCCCTCTCTGGGTTTTTTGGAGGGAAGGGGCCATTCTTCAGTTAGTCTCAGCAAAGGAAGTCTATGCAGAGGGTGTATACAGACGTCCTCCTGTACAAAGGCTTCGTCCCTTAAGACTTCCTGGGGGAGAACAGTCTTAAGAGCCTCTAAAGATTCCCAAAGGTTCCGGGGAAACAGCCTTACAGCCCTGAGGAATTCCGGAGGGAATAACAGCTCTAATCGTCAAGATCTCCAGCTAAGTGACTACAGGCCTGCTGGTACGTCTGCTCGGTTCTGAGACGCAGTTCAGCCGGTAGTGGATTCAAATCAGTCAGGTTTAGGTTCACAGTAGCCTGGGAGGAGCTAAAAAAGGGGAATTTTCCTTTGAACAAAGTTATTGAAGATAGTGCCTGTTCCCTGTGGACAAGTTTGAGAAAACTGGTTTCTTTACCAAGAAAACTTTACAATTCCTGTTTGTTCATCAATAAAAGACTGTTATATTTAAGCTCAAGTCTCCTAAAGACTGGATTCATCTTTGAGCCTGGATCCCCAGGTTTCAGGGGTGACCAGGGGAGCATTCGCACAGCTTCGGCTCGTGCGCCAGCTGCGCCCGTATCTTGGGAAGTCTGACTTGGCCACGGTGGTACACGCTCTGGTCACATCCCGCCTTGACTACTGCAACGCTCTCTACGTGGGGCTGCCCTTGAAGACGGCCCGGAAGCTTCAGCTAGTCCAGCGCGCGGCAGCCATGTTACTAACGGGAGCGGGACGCAGGGAGCACACAACGCCCTTGTTGTCCCAGCTCCACTGGCTGCCGATCTGCTACCGGGCCCAATTTAAGGTGCTGGTGTTATCCTACAAAGCCCTAAACGGTTCCGGCCCAAAATACCTTTCGGACCGCATCTCTGCCTATGAACCCACCAGGACTTTGAGATCTTCCGGGGAGGCCCTGCTCTCGATCCCGCCTGCTTCTCAAGCACGGCTGGCGGGGACGAGAGAGAGGGCCTTCTCAGTGGTGGCCCCCTGGCTGTGGAACGCCCTCCCTGTTGACATCAGACAGGCGCCCTCCCTTATGGCTTTTCGTAAGAGCCTAAAGACCTGGCTATTCGAGAAGGCATTTAATTGAGAGCTACACGAATCTGGTAATGACAACTGGAACGGATTATGGATTATGAGACTGGCTATGATTCTATGTTGTGACGGTGCGGATTTGTTAGTGTGATTTAGATTAATGTGTAATATGGTTATGTTGATATATTGTGTGCTTTTTGTAAACTGTTTTTATATGTTGTACACCGCCGCGAGTCGCCCCAGGGCTGAGAGCGGCGGTCAACAAATGCAGTAAATAAATAAATAAATAAAATAAATAACACAATATAAAACAATTTAAAAACAGCAAATCAACAATCAAAGGCCTGTCGAAACAGGTATGTCTTCTATTCCCTGCGGAAAGCTAATTAAGTCCCGCAAGGCACGGACTTCAGGTGGCAGAGTATTCCAGAGTGATGGTGCCACTGCTGTAAAGGCTTTGTGTCTGGTTGCTGTTAGACGCAAGGTCTTGACACTGGGAATTTCCAATAGATCTTGGTCCTCAGAACGGAGGGATCTCTGGGGTTGGTAGGGGGTGAGGCGGTCCCTCAGGTACATCGGCCCCAGACCATGCAAGGCCTTAAAGGTGAGTACCATCACTTTGAAAGTGATCCGGTGCTCAATTGGTAACCAATGCAGCTGTAGTAAGATTGGTGTTATGTGGCATCTCATTGGAATTCCCACAAGAAGCCGAGCAGCTGCATTTTGTACCAACTTGAGCTTCCGGATCACCGACAGAGGAAGATTGGCAGTATTGCTTGAAGAAATAGTGTAGATTCAACCTTGACAACTGAATAAGCACACCCAGGTTCTCAAACAGAGCTATAAAGATGAAAACATGACAAAATTCCTGGGCCCAAGTTTTTCCATACCTTTCAAATTCCAATCCAATCCAATAAGCCTTTATTGGCATTTACATAGCAAAGAGGTATAAAATACAGTACAAATAATAGAAAAAGGAACTTCACATTTGCTACACGTTCAGTTTACAGACTTCATTCATTTCAAATTAAGCAGCACTAATTACCTGTGATCCTGTGGAATATCGTCCTGGAGTTCGGGATCCAGAGGTTTTGCCTGAGCCAATGGAGCTCTCTGTACTTTTCCCGCTACAGCAGTGTGTACGCAGGCATTTCCCGTATTCTTTACGTACCTAAACAATCCATTTGAAATATTTGTTAGCATCTTTGATAACCAATTAACAATGCAGTGTTTCTATATATTGATTATATTCGCAATTTTATATTTATAAGCCAGGCTTATGGAATTACTTTTGAAATAACTTGAGGCCTACAAAGGCTGATCAAAATACCGAATCATGAATTATATTTCTTGCTGAAAGCCAATGTCCTTTAAAATGTATGCAAATAGTTGTGTGTATACAATTGTTTGCTGCAGAAGACAGTACATTCAGTACATTTTCCCTCTCATTTCAAGGCCCAGTTGTTCGTCCAACAGCAAATGGTCTAGTTTGGAAAGTCTTAGCTTCAGACAACAGCTGTCTGCCTAGTGATGAATCCTCACTAACACTTTACCATAAAGTGTGTGTGTGTGTGTAGGAGGGGGTCAGCTTTGTGATGGCTGCATGATGCACAGAGCTGATTTGCATTAACAGATGTTGCAGAATTCTCTAATTTTCCCAAACATCAGAGTAACCCATGATTTTGGGCACGTGTAAGCAACTGTGCCACAGTTGGTTACACCACCATCTCAGACAGGCCAGGGAATGGCACCTACCTTGCCCCTTTGATCTGCCATTTATGACACAAAAATGACACTGTCCATCACTCAGTGCCTGGAGTGATCTAGAGTGATGATGTGATCAAAAAAGGGAGAAGGACAGGAGAGAGGAAGTCTTCCTCCTCTCCCCTCTCTTGCATCACCTTTTCACTCTGGACAGGCCTGTAGCCAGGATTTTGATTCGGGGGGGGGGGGGGCTGAGTCTGGGTGAAAGAGGGTCTACCCTAGCAAACCTTTTGTATCATTACCCCAATACTCCCATACATATGGGATATATTGAGAATGGTGATCAAATCATGATATTAATAAACATAACAGTTTAAATAATGCACCAGTAAGGCCTTTTCGCGAACCACCATGAGAATTTCGGGGGGGGGGGTGGTGAAGCCCCTATAGCCCTCCCCCCGGCTACATGCCTGACTCTGGGTATTATCACTTCATGTGACAAGCGACAAACAGTGAGGTTTTCATGTTGTAAATGGTAGAACAAGGAGAGCAACGTAGGGTTGTGATTGAGCAGTGCCAGACTGGTCAGCCATGCAGCCATCATCTAGCCACTGAGGTGGTTTGAGGTCTCACAGTTAAGCCTCATCCAACTCCCAAGGCATGAATTTTTGCCCCCAGCTCTGCTGATCTGGAGTATCCCACTCCAGATCAACACTGCCATGTCTGCCTTGTCAAGATGCACTTTAGGAATGCCTCTGCCTCATAGAATGTGGGCCATCCAGTCCAACCCCCTGCCAAGAAGCAGGAAAATTTCATTCAGAGCATCCCCAACAGATGGCCATTCAGCCTCTGTTTAAAAGCTTCCAAAGAAGGAGCCTTTACTACACTCCGGGGCAGAGAGTTCCACTGCTGAACAGCTCTCACAGTCAGGAAGTTCTTCCTCATGTTCAGATGGAATCTCCTTTCTTGCCTCAATAAAACTAATGTAGCTTCCATTGCATTCTTGTTTTGGAATTTATATTTGTTTTTTTTATTTTTTAATTAATTGTGAAAATTAATTCTTGACTCTTTTTTCATCCATTGGAAATTTCATTTACCTGTAAGACTATCTGAAGGGTTTTAGATCTCCCATTTTGGTCTTCTAGTTATAGAACTGAGGAATACTTAAAGTACAGAAATGAATCCTACCTTCAAATGAGTCAATCAATTCATGGCAGAAAAGACGTAAGCAAAGATATTATCCCATTTTAAAAACAAAGTATTTCTGACTGTAAACTGATTGTTTCCCCATCAACATGAAATTAGAATTAAAAAGTAGGTCCATAGAGTATTACTGACACAAGATTGAAGCTTCAGCTCCTTTCCTTTGAGAAATTATCCAATGCCCCAGATTGGAAACACTTGGCTATTCCAATGCAAGACTGGTTTCTAAAGATATGCAAATTAGCTGAAATGGACCAACTGATGATGTTGATCAAGTAGAAATCCCTGACTAATTTTAAGAAATATTTGGACATTTTAACGTAAGTAAGCAGGCCTTTTTTCATCTTCGCCAGGCAAGGAAATTGGCATCCTACCTTTCGGTAGAAGCATTGGCAACAGTAATCCACGCAACAGTCACCACGAGGTTGGACTATTGCAACGCCTTATATGCCGGCCTTCCGAAGTCAACGACCCAGAAGATTCGGATGGTCCAAAATGCGGTGGCCAGGCTGCTAGCGGGATCATCTATAAGATCCCATATTACACCGATTCTGCAACAACTGCATTGGCTACCAATAGAACATCGGATCTCTTACAAGATACTGATCCTGACATTTAGAGCTCAAAATGGCCAAGGACCTTTATATCTTAGGGACCGCCTCATTCCTTTTCTCCATCCGTGGTCACCTCGATCCACCCAGGAAAATCTCCTCTACATACCGGGCCCTAGGGAGGTACACCTGGAAGCTACAAGGCGTAGAGCTTTTTCGACCTATGCTCCAATTCTGTGGAACTCATTGCCTCCATACATTAGAGTAATGTCGGAGTTGCGACCTTTTGTAAAGGCACTCAAGACTTGGCTGTTTGGTTGTGCATTTAGGTAATCAGATCTAATTTGCCTGGAAAGGAACTGAGCCCGCCTTTGGCTGATTAGGCCCCGAAGGAAGGGAGGAGGGAAGGAAGGGAGAAGGGAAGCAACGGGGAATATTTTCCCCACCGAAAGCCCACCTTGAGCCGTTGCGGCCTAGTCGCCTCCGCCGATCCCCGGCCTCGCGTAGCGGCCTCGCCGGGCCCGGAGCAGGGAAAGCGGGGAAGAGGGGAGAGCGAGAGGGGCCTTTCTTCAGCTACGGCGCCCGAGAAGCGAAGCTCTGGCCGAGGGAGGGAAAGGGGCGGAGCGCGCCACGCCCCCTCTCGGGCCGCCGGGGGAACTGCACCGCACCGAGGCCGTTTCCGCCTCCCTTCTCGCCCTGACTACAGCTCCCGGCATGCCCCGCGATAGCCCTCCAGGCTAAGGGATGCCGGGAAATGTAGTCTGAAAGGGAAAAAAGGGAATTAGACACCATTCCCATGTTTATAGGATTTAATTTCCTGAGGCCTTGCAAAACTACAGTTCCCATCTTTGTTGTATTGTGTTTCCTGAGGCCTTGCAAAACTATAACTCCCATGTTTCATAGCATTGAGTTTCCTGAGGCCTTGCAAAACTACACCTCCCATGTTTCTATAGCCATGAGTTTGGAGTGGCCTTGCAAAACTAGGACTTCCATTATTCCATAGCATTGAGTTTCCTGAGGCCTTGCAAAACTACAATTCCCATGTTTCTCTGGGTAAACAGGTAAACGCCCCCTTTTGAATCAGTCTGCTCGGTCATTAGCTCAAACTGACTGAACATCTGAACCAGCTCAACGTGAAAATGCAAGGCATTGGAAATACAGTGTTATCCCTTCAACACGCCGTGTTTGCTTTTGAAAACAAGCTGGAGCTCTTTATCATGGATCTTGAAACGGGTCGTTTACTACATTTTGAAAAACTGAGACAATTTAAAGATGCATGCACAGCAAGTGAGCCCACTCAAAACTTTGATCTCCACCAGCTAGCTGGCTTCACATCCAGTCTCCTACAGTCGTTCAAAGCACGCTTCGGAGAATTTCGTGAGCACACTCATCTCTTTAAGTTCATCACCCATCCAAACGAGTGTTCACTGAACACAGCCGACCTGAGTTACATTCCTGATGTCTCCCTCAGAGATTTTGAAGCAGAAGTGGCTGACCTGAAGGCCTCAGACATGTGGGTGAATAAGTTCAAGTCACTGAATGAAGATTTGGAAAGAATCGCACGACAGAAAGCGGAGTTGGCGAGCAAGCACATGTGGACAGAAATGAAAAAACCTGAAGACCAGCTGATTATCAAAACTTGTAACGCTCTTCCTGTCACATACGACACACTGAAGCGTGTGAGTATTGCTGTATTGACCATGTTTGGATCTACGTATTCATGTGAGCAGTCATTTTCACATCTTAAAAACATCAAGTCCAACCTACGATCACGTTTAACGGATGAAAGCCTCAACGCCTGCATGAAGCTTAACCTCACCAAGTACCAACCAGACTACAAAGCCATCAGCAAATCCATGCAGCACCAGAAGTCGCATTAATGGTGAGTATTATAACAACATTATTTAAAAGAATAAATTCAGAGGCTTATTATACTCACATTTAGTTGAATTCAGTCTTAAAATATATTATATGGCTCTCACTGAAATAAATTTCCAAATATTTTGCTTTCATGGCTCTCTGAGTCAAAAAGGTTCCCGACCCCTGCATTAGAGCAATGTGGGAGTTGTGACCTTTTGTAAAGGCACTTTGAGACCATAACAATGGGTGGGGAACATGTGGTCGGAGTTGCGACCTTTTGTAAAGGCACTCAAGACTTGGCTGTTTGGTTGTGCATTTAAGTAATCAGATCTAATTTGCCAAATAGTCACTGTTGAATGTTTTTATGTTGAATGTTTTTATATTGTGTAAATGCTATTTTAGACTGTAAGTCGCTCGGAGCACCTTGGTGGAGAGCGACTAATTAAGAAATAAAGTGAAGTGAAGTGAAAGTGAAGAAAAGCTGTCTGTTTCATAATTGGCTATTTTGTGCATCCCAGACTTTTTGTAGATTCTTTGTTCTTTCGTCAGGCTTTATTCTTTCATCAGTCCATTTTCTGAGTCATGATGCCACTCACTTTTCTTCTTCTTATTGTTACTGTTGTTGTTGTTGTTGTTATTATTATTTATTCAAGTAGACATACATTTGCAAGTGTTTGTTGCATTCAGTGCAATACTTTCTATCTATTAATGTTCCATAATCATTTCTCTGATAATATATTTCCTGTAAGGGGTCACAGTCTACTACCTAAATAATACATATAAAAATATTATAGAATCTTACTTTACATCCGCTTCCTCCTTGTCTACAGTGTTACAGGATCCTCTATATACATTTTAAATTTAATTATACATTAAGATGTTGAATCATTGGTTGCCATTCATTAACTAAGTTATCTAATAGTTCTCCTCTTAATTATTTTTATTTTATTTTTTTGTCCATTATCAGCATATCTGTAATATATTTTTCTCACTCTTCTAAAGGAGGTACCTCTGGAGTTTTTCAATATCTGGCACTCACCTTTCTTAAAGATACAGGGTTACATGCCACGGCAGATTGATTGAGGCACCACTGTCTCTAGTTTTAGTTGATGCCACCCCATGCATTGCTACCCTACACACTGAAGGTTATGGGAAGAGGGAGGAATGCTGAACAAATTGGCCAATCTCAGCTCAAGCACAAATGCATTTTACCAGGCCTGCTGAGCATGGATCAACCTGGCACAGAGCGTCTCTTCCCTCTTCCATTTATGCATACTGTCGCTTTGCATTAGTCATGCACTTCACGTTAATAAAAACATTATTTGACTTTCACAAATACCTCTCAGTGCAATATACAGATTCTGTTTCATTCTCTACAAAAATTGGTTCCATGTTTAATGCTTGATTTACACACACACACAAAACTTTCTATATCTCCTAATCCTTGTACAGACTCATTCATAAGTTTATTCTGTTCCGTTTATGCAGTAATATGTCATTTTTATATTTCACAATACTGCATAAACATGTTAATCCTATGTGCTTTTTAAAGTATTTGCTCCCCAAGCTTGTATTTCTGAGTGTATATTCAAAATATGTATCTTTAAGCACAACTACTGGCTATGATGCATTTGAGTTACTAATGCTTAGGTGAACAGGCTCACAGTGCAACTGTGACATAGAATCATAGAATCAAAGAGTTGGAAGAGACCTCATGGGCCATCCAGTCCAACCCCTGCCAAGAAGCAGGAATATTGCATTCAAAGCACCCCTGACAGATGGCCATCCAGCCTCTGTTTAAAAGCTTCCAAAGAAGTAGCCTCCACCACACTCCAGGCAGAGAGTTCCACTGCTGAACGGCTCTCACAGTCAGGAAGTTCTTCCTAATGTTCAGATGGAATCTCCTCTCTTGTAGTTTGAAGCCATTGTTCCGTGTCCTAGTCTCCAAGGAAGCAGAAAACAAGTTGCTCCCTCCTCCCTGTGGCTTCCTCTCACATATTTATACATGGCTATCATATCTCCTCTCAGCCTTCTCTTCTTCATGCTAAACATGCCCAGTTCCCTAAGCCGCTCCTCATAGGGCTTGTTCTCCAGACCCTTGATCATTTTAGTCGCCCTCCTCTGGACACATTCCAGCTTGTCAATATCTCTCTTGAATTGTGGTGCCCAGAATTGGACACAATATTCCAAGTGTGGTCTAACCAAAGCAGAATAGAGGGGTAGCATTACTTCCCTGGACCTAGACATTATGCTCCTATTGATGCAGGCCAAAATCCCATTGCAAGATGCAAGATGCTGTCAGTAAATTATCTATGCAATAACCAAATGCAATCTTACTTCTTTCCATCAAGGTTACTAAGATCTTCTGGAGGGGCCCTGCTCTCGGTCCCATCACATTTGCAATCGCGTCTGGTGGGGACGAGAGACAGGGCCTTCTTGGTGGTGGCCCCCTGGCTGTGGAACTCTCTCCCGTTGGAGATTAGATCTGCCCCTTCCCTCCTGACCTTCAGAAAGCTAGTGAAATCCTGGCTCTGGGACAGAGCATTCCCAGAAAAATTAGTTGAGTTCAGCAATAACCTAATAACCACTGACCACACTGGCAGACTGAGATGAACGTGATTTTATCTTGGCGATTTGGCTTATATGTATTTATTTTGTCTGTATTTTAACTTATTATGATGTTATTCTGCTTTTAGTTGTATTTATGTATTGATTTTCTGTTGTTGGCTGGTCTGAGTCCCTCTACGGAGGTAGAGAAGATTGGGGCATAAAAGTTTTAAATAAATAAATAAATAAATTTTCACCAAACTTACCTTTTTCTGTAGAACACAGTGGAAAATGAATATAAACATTCCCTGTAGGGAATTGAAAACGGTGAAGAGGTATGCCATGATGTCTGTGCATTCATTAATATACATGAGTCCAAAGGCCCAGGTCAGTCCTAATAGACAGAGCAGAGCTATTGCACCAATAACCCAGGATCTGTTGGAAAAGAGAGGAAAGAAACAGACAGAAAAGGAAAGTGTCTTTGCTTTAAAGAGAACACATCGCAATGTACACGATAAGCATTTCTGGGGGAGAAGAATAGTATTTGTGAGAAATGCACTTCTGGAATTCAATGTATTTTCTTTATCAAATGTGTAAGGTAGAGAGAAATGTCATGAGTATGAAAATGTCTCTTTTGAAAAGCAGGGTTGGGAAGGAGCACAATAACTTAAATGAAAGATGAATACCGCACAGAGGAGGAAAACACAAGATATTTTGAATTTGCCTCCATTCATTCCATGCATGTTGCTTAAGATATCGTTGTAAGAATATCTTTGTAAGGCTTCATCCTAGACAATTCCACTCGAAAAAGAATGGGAGCATCCTTTTGTGCAATTCCTTTAACTTTCACAGGGTTAATGGAGGTGAGCTGTCCACTATGACAGTAGCTATTTTTCTTTCCACATTTTCTGCAGTTGACTTGGTTCCCCAATTCTTTGTGACTATTATTTCCCAAAGGGTCACAAATTAAATAATTTGAAACACAAAGAAATACAGTTTAAGGCAATTCTTCTGACAGGTTTTTTTGGTCGTGTCAGGAGCAACTTGAGAAACTGCAAGTCGCTTCTGGTGTGAGAGAATTGGCCGTCTGCAAGGACGTTGTCCAGGAGACGCCCGGATGTTTTGATGTTTTACCATCCTTGTGGGAGGGTTCTCTCATGTCCCCGCTATGCGGAGCTGGAGCTGATAGAGGGAGCTCATTCACGCTCTCCCCGGATTCGAACCTGCGACCTATTGGTCTTCAGTCTTGCCAGCACAGGAATTTAACCCACTGCATCACTGGGGGCTCCTTCTGACAGGTGATGAAACCGTTTAGGGAGCTGCATGATCCAGGGACTAGACTACTTTGAGTAGCACTGGCTCGTGGCTCAATTATTTCTCTTGGATTCTTTCTGAGATTACCATTGTACCTGTCCGAACGTATTCTCCCCTATGAACCATCTAGGTTGTTAAGATCGTCTGGAGGGGCCCTGCTCTCGTTCCCACCGGCCTCTCAGGCGCGTCTGGTGGGGATGAGGGACAGGGCCTTCTCGGTGGTGGCCCCTTGACTCTAGAACTCTCTCCCKCTGGAGATCAGAACTGCCCCCTCCATTCTGTCATTCAGAAAACGGGTGAAAACCTYMCTATGGGGTTTGGCTTTCGACAAGTGAATCAATATTTCTGTGATCMGATAGATGARGATYAATGARGGACWARGAATTCACTATGACBACTGACCATTGTTATTATGTGATRGCATTTTGCTGTTATAACGTTTTAATTGAATATGTTATATGATGTTTTTAATGATTGTTTTGTGATTTTATTGTTGGAAACCGGCCCGAGTCCCCTGATAGKGGGGAGAAGACCGGGATACAAAATTGCTAAATAAATAAATAAATGTAGTTGGGGGTTTTTTTTGGTCGTGTCAGGAGTGACTTGAGAAACTACAAGTTGCTTCTGGTGTGAGAGAATTGGCCGTCTGCAAGGACGTTGCCCAGGGGACGGCCGAATGTTTTGATGTTTTACCATCCTTGTGGGAGGCTTCTCTCATGTCCCCGCTATGCGGAGCTGGAGCTGATAGAGGGAGCTCATCCACGCTCTCCCCGGATTCGAACCTGCGAGCTATTGGTCTTCAGTCTTGCCGGCACAGGGGTTCAACCCATTGTGTCACTGGGGGCTCCTTCTGACAGGTGATGAAACCGTTTAGGGAGCTGCATGATCCAGGGACTAGACTACTTTGAGTAGCACTGGCTCGTGGCTCAATTGTTTCCCTTGGAATTTTTCTGAGATTACCTTTGTAGTTGGGGGTTTTTTTTGGTCGTGTCAGGAGCGACTTGAGAAACTGCAAGTCACTTCTGGTGTGAGAGAATTGGCCGTCTGCAAGGACGTTGTCCAGGGGACGTCCGGATGTTTTGATGTTTTACCATCCTTCTGGGCGGCTTCTCTCATGTCCCCGCAATGCGGAGCTGGAGCTGATAGAGGGAGCTCATCCGCCTCTCCCCGGATTCGAACCTGTGACCTGTCGGTCTTCAGTCTGCCGGCACAGGGGTTTAACCCGCTGCGCCACAGAGGGCTCCATTTTTTTGTAGTTGGTGTCTGTTATAAATGCAGCTTTGGCTAGCTAGGGAAATATATATGATCCCAAAAGAATGGGAAAAAGAAAACAAAATGCAGAAAATGATATGTAATAGTTAGTCAAATATACCAGGAAAGGAATAACCAAACTAGACAGATGCAAATGATATACACCCTAACTCTGTGTTAGAAACCAAAGAGCTGCTTCCAGAGGGGTAGCTAAAATTATAAACAATGTGAAGGAGGAAAAGTGGCATCTCCAAGTAAGGCTGTTCTGGTTTCATAATGGGCACTCTCCTGATTTTACGGGAATCTGCATGTAATATCTATGGGTCATTTAGAGAAATAGTATTTGGGCTGGGTGGGCTCATCCTATACAGAGGTTGCTCTATGATATGTATAAGGAATCTCCCACACATATAGAAGGTGATTCCAATGAGCCTACAAAAAAATTCCCTCTCTTGATGCAGAAGTCAAATAGGGACTGAATTCTAAAAGTACATTACGATTATCCTAACAGCAAATTATGATTTATTTATTTAATTTATTTATTTCTGGCATTTGTACCCTGTCTCTTCTCTACCCCTGTTACATTAGTAACGGCGCAAGACAGCTACATCACAATTACAATAATATAACACAATCAAATACAAAGTGGGTGGGGGGGGGGGGTCAGGACAGATCAATCTGAATGCATGGCTGTATTGAGAAGTTCAATAGTGCTGGTTTTGACCTACAAAACCCTATACGGTTCCGGCCCAGCGGATCTGTCCGAACGCATCTCCCTCTACGTCCCACCTCGGAGTTTAAGATCCTCTGGGGAGGCCCTGCTCTCGGCCCCGCCTCTGTCACAAGTGAGATTGGCGGGGACGAGGAGCAGGGCCTTCTCAGTGGTGGCCCCTCACCTATGGAATTCACTCCCCGGGGAAATTAGATCAGCAACATCCCTCCTTTCCTTTAGAAGGAAATTAAAACATGGATGTGGGACCAGGCGTTTGGGCAATCTGGCAGATAAATAAAGGACTGCGACAATGGATAGGAATAGACAATGTGGAACGAAGTATGGACTCTGAGTTGGCAAACGCTGTGCTTGAGATTGGCTTTTGACTGTGATATATATTGTTGTTTTAACTGCTGTTTTTATACATTTATTGTATTATTGTGTAGGCATCAAATTGTGCCATTTTGTAAGCCGCCCTGAGTCCCCCCTCGGGAGTTGAGAAGGGTGGGGTAGAAGTATACGAAATAAATAAATAATAATTTATTCGTACTGGAGAAAGATTTACTGATCTAGTCCTATATGATATTTTACAAAAAAAAAACAAAAACCCACCATCAGAATATTTACTGTATATACTCGAGTATAAGCCTAGTTTTCAGTCCTTTTTTAGGCTGAAAAAGTCTCCCTCGGCCTATACTTGAGTCAAGGTTTTTTTTAATTATTTTACATTATTATTATTATTATTATTATTATTATTATTATTTTACTCTATTATTATTATATTTATTATTTTATTCTTTATTATTGTTATTATTATTTTACTCTATTATTATTGGAAGGATATGTAAACACATTTACACTTCACTTCACTTTAATCAGAGGACAGTCTTATCTCAACTTACAGTTTTATTCAAAAACATTTAACCTACCAATGCCTCAATTAATGCAATTTTATTGGTATCTATTTTTATTTTGGAATTTACCAGTAGAATTTATTTTGAATTTTTTTGGAATTTATTTTGGAATTTACCAATTTTATTGATATCTATTTTTATTTTGGAATTTACCAGTAGCTGCTGCATTTCCCACCCTCGGCTTGAACTCGAATCAATCTGTTTTCCCAGTTTTCTTTGTGGTAAAATTAGGTGCCTCAGCTTATATTCGGGTCAGCTTATACTCGAATATATATGGTAATTACAGATGTATGAAAAAACACACTTGTTGGATAATGATGAATGGATTGACATTACGTTCTAAAGTGGTTTTAGGGGAATTTCTGTGAAAAAGTTATACAAATGTGGTTCTGAAAAATGAAAGGTCTGATTCTTCAACCATCTAGATACCAGACAAATATTTTTTTAAAAAAAAGATTGCAGGAAACTCTTTTAAAATAAAGAGAATTTAGAAAATAATTTGTTTATAAACCAACATGAGTTATTATAGTGGCGAAATACTGCATGCAGAAATGCAAAAACTGAGTATATGAAATGGAACAGAATGAGCTTATAAGTGACTAGCAGTTTCACTGCAGCAAACAATTTGGGATTCGTTTCTAGATTATAAACAGAATATGAGTCAACAGTATTGTTGTTATGACCCTGGTGGCTTGAAACCAGACTGAGGTTTAGTGGAGCTGTTGACTCAAGATGTCTCCATAATACATGTACTGGGGCCTACAAAAGCTAAACAGAGTATCTGCAATGTGGGATTGAAAGGGGTATTCCTTAAATCCAAAATCTGTAATTCAGTGTACCACAAATATTATATGAAAAGGATTATTCAAGTAACTTCTATGGAAGTCAGGTACTGTATCCAACCTAATGCTTTTCAAAGTTTCTGTTCACAAGAATATTGCATCTAAGATCAGTGGAGTGTTATTAGGACCACATCGGTTGACATGGATTTGGATTATTTTTCTGAGGGTTAAGGCTTACAAATAATGGGAATAGATATATAGTTGGATTCATAGGTCTATGAAGCTTCTAAAAATCCAAGTATTATTAATGAACTGGTCATGTTTAAGCAAAACAGGGCAAGGGAAGGTTAGCTGGTTTACAAAACTGAATTTAACTGGGTTGCTCTTTAACTATGTCGCATAAATTCACACTGGATTGAACCTATCAGTGAAACCAAACCATGTATCATAACATTCCCCACA